TGGTCGCATTTGCCAACATGCTATAGTAAGTATTTTATTCAAGTATTTCTTTTTATTAGAATTAAATAAAATAATAGACAACTACATATGTATATGTACACATATAAGTGTGTACATATATATACATATATATGTAGTCCTCATATGAGTGTGAATTATCTTGAGACATAAAAAAAAACAAGGTTGAAAATGCAAATGTCTTCCTAAGAAATCAAATAAGATTCAGTTAAGAGTATATAAAAAGCTTTATTCAGAAAGTTTCCAATAAAACTGTTGATATATATACATATATATGTAGTCCTCATATGAGTGTGAATTATAAAGAGACATAAAAAAAACCAAGGTTGAAAATGCAAATGTCTTCCTAAGACATCAAATAAGATTCAGTTAAGAGTATATAAAAAGCTTTATTCAGAAAGTTTCCAATAAAACTGTTGATTTTTCTCTACATAAAAAATACTCTTTTTTTCAGATTCTTCAGAAAAGTGTGGGCCTCCTCCACCTATTAGCAATGGAGATACCAAGTCCTTCCCGCAAAAAGTGTATCTGCCACAGTCAACAGTCGAGTACCAATGCCAGTCCTCCTATGAACTTCAGGGTTCTCAATATGTAACTTGTAGTAATGGAGAGTGGTCAGAACCACCAAGATGCAGATGTAAGTTCTTAATATTCTGGATCTGAGAAAATTAGAGTAATAAGTTTGATCTTTGTTATTTATACTAAAATTTTTATGGGTTATTACCCTAGAACTGTGTTCACAAACAGCTATTCTGCTGAATGTTTGCCTTTCACATCTCAATATGTAAGTGTATAAGCTTGGAAAATTTCATGTAAACGATGACGAAGTTTCTTTTTTAAAACAGGAATGTTCAGAAACCTCAATTTGTTAATGGACACAATGAGTCTTCAAGAATGACATCCATTTATTGCAAACATCTGAAATATGGCATCTCACCTTGACATCAATAACCATTTTCACATTACTAACACTTAGGTAAATAGTTTTCAAAGAGTTTTGAAAACACTGTTTTAAAACAATGAACTTGGAACCAACCCAAATGTCCAGGCCCAAATGATATACTAGGTAAAGAAAATGTGGCACATATACACAATGGAATACTATGCAGCCATATAAAAGGATGAGTTCATGTCACATGTTCTCACTCGTATGTGGGAGCTGAACAAGGAGAACAGGTGGACTCAGGGAGGGGAACACCACATACCAGGGTCTGTCGTAAGTTGGGGAGCTAGGGGAGAGATAGCATTAGGAGAAATACCTAATGTAGGTGATGGGTTGATGGGTGCAGCAAACCACCATGGCACATGTATTCCCATGTGAAGAAACTGCACGTTCTGCACATGTACCCCGAACTTAAAGTATAATAAAAAAGATGCACTATTAACTAAAATCCTACTTGAAAACCTGAAATGCTTCCTGAGAGAGCACAGAGCTAGTTAACACTGAGAAGTTCTTTTTCTGATTATTGTTCTTTCTTATATTTTACCAGTATCTCTAGCAAGCAAGAAAGAAATTAACAGAAAGTTCAACCATTTCCAAATTCCAATGGTTTCTGTTTTAACCTTCGTCTCCTCTGCCCTTGTCCCAGAATGCAAATGAATACACTAAAAACGCCTCAAGTCTGTAATGTAGGTATACTCTCAGAATTTTGTCCCACAAATCCTATGAACTTGAAGTAATACAATTCAAAATATGAGCCACAATAATTATGGTAACAACAATAAAACCTAAAAGTAAGTTTGCCACCAATTTCTACTAGCCTATAAAGTATAGCCCTGGGATACCCATCAGGCCTTGCATATCAGAGCTTCCTATCACAGCTCTTAAACTATAAACTTATGAGTTTTTCAAGTGCTTAAGTTCCTAAGTACAGGATGATACAAGCAGTGCTTTTCCGTGATATGACTCATTTCCTTTATTTTGCTGCTACGCTACATTTTACCTTTTATATTGACTGATGATGCTGATATTTTGGCTGATCCTACGATGGACTAAACCTTAATTATTGTCCCTATTTATGTATCCACTTCTGTAGATGATCATGTCTAAGTCTGGGCTCCAAACCATACAAGTGTCAAGACTGCAGAGGAAAGTTAGTATCCTCAAATCAAAATAGTTTACAAGTGTTTCCAAACTTGATTCCATAGCAAAAATTAAGTATTAGGTTTCAGAGATAAATTCTGAGTCTTATATTTGATTGACTGAGCATATGGACACTCCTAAGATGTGTTTCACAGCAAAAGCATTATCTCTTCTCACAATCAAGAACAGGAAAGGATTATAATTGTCTGAAGACATAAGATCAGTTCCATGATACAAGCATGACTTTCAGTCTTCAAAACTAAAGAAGCAAAGAGCATTCAAGCAGAGAATTCTAGGGAAAAAGGCAACCTTATGGAAAATATTACATATACATATGGCATATTAAAGCAATGAGGAAAACTTAAACAGGCAGTAGGAAACTTTAGCAAGTTTTGAAAAATATGTTTGGAGAAGTATTTAGTGCTCAAATAATGTTTATTTGTGAATTGTAAACAAACAGCCCCTAAATGTATTGAAGAGCTCTTAAAAATTTTTGGATTTCAGAAGTGCTATGTAATACGTTAAGAAATTTATTTAAGTAAGTCCTTGAAAGATGTATTAAAATATGATTTGGGGAAATTTCTAAAGAATACTAATGTTAATAAGGGCTAAACTTGAGTGCAGAATACTTGCATCAAAAGAAGAGAAGAGGAGTGAATGACATCATGGAAAGCTTACCATGGAAGAATTGGGCTTAATACCTAAGGTATGGGTTGATGGGTGGTGCAAACCACCATGGCACACTTTTACCTATGTAACAAACTTTCACATCCTACACACGTATCCCAGAACTTTAAAAATTATTATAAAAATTTTTTTAAAAATCTAAAAGAAAACGAGCCATGCACGGTTGCTTCCACCTATAATCCCAGCACTTTGGGAGGCCAAAGCTGGTGGATCACTTGAGGTCAGGAGTTCGAGACCAGCCTGACCAATATGGTAAAACCCTGTGTCTACTAAAATTACGAAAATTAGATGGGCATGGTGGTGTGTGCCCATAGTGCCAGCTACTCGGGAGGCTGAGGCAGGAGAATTGCTTGAACCTGGGAGACGGAGGTTGCAGTAAGCCGAGATCGCACCACTACAGCCTGGGCAACAGAGCGAAATTTCGTCTCAAAAAAAAAAAAAAAGAAAGAAAAGAAAAGAAATAAAAAGCCCTTTATGTGGAAGGTAACATAATCAAAACAGTCATCTCTTATATCATTGTCTGTTACAGTGAAACATTATTTATACTATTTTTGTTTTTTGTTACAAGTAATGAAACCTTGTGAGTTTCCAGAAATTCAACATGGAGGTCTGTATTATGAGAGTATGCGTAGACCATACTTTCCAGTAGCTGCAGGAAAATCTTACTCCTATTACTGTGATGCAAATTTTGTGACTCCTTCAGGAAGTTACTGGGATTACATTCATTGCACACAAGATGGGTGGTTGCCAACAGTCCCATGCCTCAGTAAGTAAACCTCTTTACAATATGTGCATAAAACTTGAAAAGAGTGAGAGAAAAGCAAATAAATGATTACATTGTCTTATATGACAGAAATGGTACTAAGGGAAGAGTTATCCAAGCAAAAAGACCAAAATGGATCTTTTCTGTTATGAGATCTTCGTGAAAATCACATGAGAAATAAATATAGGAATTTTATGAGAATACCTATGTAATTTATACATATTTTATCATGAAAACGAAAGATAAGTAACATTGAATACCGACTTTTTTGTACAAACATTTAGTAGTAGCTTTAGTTGTCCTTCAGTTATACATTATTTTGGGGTATTGATGCAGTCTTATTTAAATATTCTAAAATTATTTTAATATACTGTTTTGATTAAATTCATGTTTCTAATTTACTTTTTAATCATGTTATGGTCTTTGGGACAATGTATTCTCAGTTATTTGGAGAACGGATATAACACGAAATATGAAGGAACATATTGACAGGGTCAATCTGTAAAAGTTGAAGTCTGTCCTGACTACGGTCTTCCAAATGTGCAGACCACAGTTTCATGTACAGAGGATGATTGATCTCCTCCTCCCAGATGCATTCGTGGCAGTTAGTCCACTTATTTGAGATCCCAGTATGTCCGTGACTATCTAAGATTCCATACCTTTAACGGGAAAATTTTGTGTAGCAATTCTCAAGCTGAATATAGGCCTTTTTTATCGTTAAATAGAAGCCTAGCTAGTTTTCAGTTCCAAATATGTATGAATACATCTATAATTTCTGGATAATGAGTGGATTCTGTCACTTAATAGTCAAGTAATAGAAATATAAATTTTGAATAGCACAAAATAAATAAAATACAGATGAAAGTAATACTGCTTCAGTATTTATATTGAAATCATGCTAAATGCATTGATTTAAGTAAATTATGAAATTATAGTATTAATTAAACAATAAATATAAGGCTTGCTCAAAGGTCACTTGTACATCTCTCACAATTATATGACATCTGTGGTTATAGTTAGTGTTCTGTTGCTTTAAATTAAGACTCATCTTCTGTTATAGCTGACTTTCACTTTTTAGGTAAAGGGGTCTCTGAAAGTTGTTTGTGTGCATCACTTGCAATTTACAAAACATTCCATTATAGAAACCGTATGATAATTATGATATAATTGACATGGAAGACAATAGAAATCTTCTTACACCTTTGTGGGAGCAACTGTACTCAACAATAGCCTAAGTCTCTGAAAGAAAAGTCCCTTTTTCTCCTACTGTAGGCACCAACTCTATCATTAATGCACCTAATAAATATTGTTATGTGTCAAGTGCTTTATAGATATGAAAATAAAATTATTTACAAGAGAAACTGAACACTGTAGTTTAGAGGTTAGAAGAGATTAATAGAAAAGTAGGCAAGAATAGATCAGAAAACTCATGATTATGACAAATGCTATATTATAAATATTTATCATCTTTAACATGATTTCTTTTTCTTTCAGATAGTAAAATTAGTCCATTACATTTTTTAATTACTAACTAAAAAGGAACATACACATTACTAATATCTTAGAACATATACATTACTAAAATAATTACTACATTAGTAACATATAGAACATATACAATAATATATGAAGAACATATACATTACTAATATATTAGAACTTATTTTTGCTATCTTGTCTGTTTGTTTGTTTCCTGCTTACATTTCCACATTTCTGTCAAACACTATGTCTATATGGGTTTAAGACCCACTTAAGATGACAATCATTTTAATTTTCTGGAGACTAAAGATTTGCAAATTTATTTCCTTGTCTATGGTAGGAGTGTGCACTGTATCTTTGCCTGAGAAATGGATTATGACTATATGAAGTCTAAGATCTCTTAATAGCATCAGAAAGATTCAGGTTATTGCAAAGTAGCCAGAAACTCTCCCAAAAAGTCCTAGGGAATTGAGAGTCTGCTAGATCTGCATTCCTCATCAAGGCCTGCCAGAGCTCTGTTGACAGTCTCAAGGATTCCTTGCTTTTATTCTGCCTTTCCCTGTGTTTTCACTATTTTCTTTCAAAATTCATGGTTTAAGAACATGGATGTCTAGGAAACTTCCAGTTTTGCTGTTTTCAATGTGTTAACAAATGTTTCATTGTTTTACCATATTGCCATGATTTTACTCGTTCCCTTCTATAAAAGAAGTATTCAACAAATTTTTTTTTCTCTACTTTTTCTATTAGGAACATGCTCAAAATCAGATATAGAAGTTGAAAATGGATTTATTTCTGAATCTTCTTCTATTTATATTTTAAATAAAGAAATGCAATATAAATGTAAACCAGGATATGCAACAGCAGATGGAAATTCTTCAGGATCAATTACATGTTTGCAAAATGGATGGTCAGCACAACCAATTTGCATTAGTAAGTGATTTACATATTCCTATTCAGTTTCTGTCAACTTTGTTCCTCTCTTTGAGATGATAGTGTTTTACTTAAAAATATAAAAAACACTTTTAGGAGTAAAGAGATACAAACACTTCTAATATCATTTAACATTCTGTGCCAAACTAAGCCTTTTTTGCCTGTTTAGAGTAATGGCTACTTGGGAAGATAATCATTCCATCTCTTTCAATTCAATTTGCCTTTGCGTAAAAGCAATCCCATCAGGTACAGACTAGTTAGGCAGCTGCATGGGACTATCAGCAAAATGTATGAATTGTCAACAAAAACTTTGCTCTTTTCCCTTCCTTCGTATTTCAAAATTATCAACTGCTTATATTGTATTCCTTGCTCACACTCAGCAAAGATGTACATGTCGGGGAAGGGATGAGTGCTTAATTCTGAGTTTCTGCTAGCATCAGGAGAATGAGACCTTAATAATTCGTATCAATGATGCAACTGAGGAGAACCAACTCAAAAAATTATTTCCAACTTATAGTCTAGTACAGAGAAAACAAGTAAAGGAAAAGGGTAAGTGGGTGGGCTGAATATTTACAAACCTCATACTTGGCAATGGATTCCTTACAACTAAAGTTCTCTAAAACATTCCCAACTTGTAATTACTTATTATTAAAGTGATTGCATAATGAACAATGGAAATCTTGCAGTGGCAAAAGTTGGTCTTTTTTGTCTTTCCTCTGTAGACATTCACAAAGATTTTTAAAGATAAATTATTTATTTTTAACACACATATTGATATATAATTTACATAGTACAAAATCCAGTTCATTTTCAAGTCTACGATTCAACTATTTTTAGCCATGAGATGAAATGGAAGGGACTACTGATACATAATAGTGCATGGATGAATCTCAAAAGTATTAAGCTAAGTGAAAAAAAAAAAGGATACAATTAGAAAGTGATTATCTCAAAGTTACTCTGAGGTTTGGGAGCTATAAAATATAATTCCTACATTTCTAGAATACTGTTTTCAATATCTATGCTTATCATGGGCTCTGTGTAAAGAAAAGTTGTATACTTCAATCTAATTTGACTCAGTTTTGATAAATGATCTACTGTAAGACTTGTAAAATAAAAGATAAGATGCTTTATATATTTTTGTAGAACCTATTATCCAATGAATATAATTTTAATACAACCTATACGCCAATACTGTCAGTAAATTGTGTATATAAATATGTATATTAACTTTTAAATTCACAAAATTTTACCGTCTTTAAAATAATACATTATAATGATAAAGGCAGACTGTAATAACAGCCAATGAGATGTTCTCAAATAAAAATAGGTCTAACTAAATATTGTTAATATGTTTTTCATGGGATTTAAATGATGAGAAGGATATATATAGGGAAATATATTTTTCTCTTCTAATTAACTGTTACAGCACAAAGAAAGCACTGATTGTCAGACTATTTTTTAA